GTTCGCCTCTGCCTGCTTTCAGAAGTGTCTATTTTGGAGCTCCCATGGCTAAGTGAGCTGTGAGTACAACTGTCCCCTCAGCTTTGTTGATAAATACTGAACTCCTGACGTTCCACCTGCCAAATTTTGTGAAGTTCCGTTGGTGTAAAGCTCCTCAGTTTATTTTTTGGTGTGTAATTGTTCAGGTTTCTGGGACTATTCCCTGCAGGAACACCCTTCTGCTCTTAATTTCATCTCTCACTGTACGCTGCTCAGTTTCGTCAGCCCTTCGCTCATCAGCGCTTTCCTTCCGAGATGTTGAATCTCAGCCATATTCCTCATGTTTAGTTCACAGGGGAGCTGAGTGCTCAGGGACTGCTCACAGCCAGGCTCTCAATTAGCTGTCCCCAGCTATATCCTCCCCTAGTTTGGTCGTGTGCTCCTGAGAAACCCGCAGGGTTTGAGAGCCCGTGGTCCTGAGCGTTACAGCAAACACTGCGTGTGCTTCTCCCATCCACCTGCAGCGCTTCACTCGCCTGCTGAGACTGATGTGGGGAAACCAATTAAACATTTATAGCTCTGTAACCTGCTGGCATGTGTGTGTGGGGCAGATTCCCACGTCTGACCTACACAGAGCGTGACTTGGCTGCATTTTGCCCGTCACCTTGGCGTGACCCCCAGCCCACACAGTCAGCAGCAGACCTGCCTGTGTCCCACACCAGTGGGATAAAGGCTTAGGGCAGGAGCCAGAGCTGCGTGGGAAGGCATTAGGTGACTTAGGGCTCTTGGCAGCCTGGAGTGAGCTCCATATGCTTCATCTTGCAGTGGGGACACGGCTGCAGATACACCCCAGCATTAGTGATCCCTGGTGCTTGGTGACACTACAAGCAGCCTGTGTTTTGGTGCTCCTGAGAAGCCCATCCTGGGGGATGAGGGGCTCCCAAGCCCCGTGAAGGGTGGGTTGGGTGATCTGCAAGTTTTTCATGGAATGCCTTACCCAAAGCTGATGAATGGGGCATTTCAGGGAAAGGCAAAGGGACAGTGGCCTGCCTTTGGGTTGCTGTTCCTCCTCGAGATGCCTCTTCTCTCCCCTGCTGGCATTAGCAGGGGGGAGCTCTTGGCAGCCAAGCAGCAGGTACAGCTGAAGCAGGAGATCTGGATGTGCTGGTAAACATTTTGAAGACAGAAAATAAATCCATCCATCTCTGTAAGAAATACTGCCCCCAAGAGAAATTTCTGATCATAGGCAAGACTAAGTGCACAGGCACCAGCAAATTCACCACCAGCATTGATTATTTCATTATAAATTGCTCACTTGCTTTCTTACATTTGCTCCTGAACAGAAATGAAACATTGGCTACTGAAAATAACAGCAGCTAATACACAACCAAAAACCTGACTTGCATATGAAAACACTGGATTTTCCACAGGGGCTTTCCCACTCTTTAAGCTCCTTTAAACTTTAAAGTATGAGCTCCATTAAGATTATAAAAATGTACTGCCTTAGCTGCTGGATTTTTCACTGTGCTGAAAGGAAGGCAACTGCTCAGAGGCTGAGTGAGAAGAGCGATCTCAATATTAACAAACAGTCCTGCACTGACATGGATGATTGATGGCAGATGAGGATGTAGACGGAGAAGGCAGGGACTTTCCAAATTGTAAAACAGGGAAAAGAAACCAGTCGGCTTTACTGGAGCTGGAACTACACAAGTCAGATGCCTCAGGATGCCCAGCAATGGTCTCCTCAGTGACACTGAAGTCACGGGTGGCCTTGTCCATGTTTTGGAGTAGTTGTTTAGTGGAAAATGTTGCAAAGGATCATTTCACAAGAGTGTTTTGCTCAAAGCATGTGTCCCTCTATCCACATGGCAATAGCTGGTGTTCAGACACCACTAGAGATTATTTTCCTTCCTGGGGCTGAAAGGAGACTGGGGAAAGGCAGGTGGACACTGTGTGAGGAATGTGAGAGCGAAGAACGAAGAGCAGAGGAGAGAAGCCACATTGGTCCTTGACCCCAGGAATTAAGGGGGCCTGGGCAGCTCTCATCTTCTTGTATCTGCTACCTGGTGGCTACAACAGTGTCTGGAGGCCAGCAAAAGTCTTCAAGTGCCATGACATGAGGCCCAGGAGCATTAGGAGCGGGAGACAGGACTGATCCTGGAAGAGCTACGGAGCTCCTTGGCTTTCCACCAAGGGGGTGTGATCTTCTTCACCCTCCTGGAGTGAATAGAGAGAAAGTTACGTAGTATATTTGAAGTTTTCTCAGTATGGGACTTATTTGACTCATTGGTTTCTTGGAGTCTTCTCTGGTCTACAAGGGAAATTTCTCTGTGACTTTGTAATTTTGCCCTTTAGTGTTTTTAATTTTCCTGCATCCTGAGCTGAAGATAACTGGAAGGAAAAGAAGGTTGTGTAGGACTGTTACTAACAGCAATCTCTGCACTGAAGCTGAGCCAGAGCCAGTCTAATGGTGCAGAAAAGACGCTCCCTCCAAGTCAGGACATTTTCCTATTTGCTGTCCCAGGGCCTCTTGCCCATGGATGAGCCATGTACAGTGGCTGACAGCACAACTGCTGTGGGGCTGGAATTACACCCTCTCATTCCCTGTTTGTAGGAGTGATCCATCTTCAGAAACACTGCCCACTGGATGCCGTTAGAGGAATATTGCCCACACTGGCATGCTCCATGGTTCATTCTGACCTCTGATTTCCTGGGTGACATCGAATGATGAGAGTGGTTTTTTTATGATCCCCTGTATTTGTACAGGCAAGTACAAGGATGGGCAGGTAGATGGGGAAAACCTTGTGTCTCGTTCTGTAGAGAGGAGGAAGACAACTCCATGGAAAAAAAGAAAGTGGGAGATAAAAAGGTAAATATTTCCTTTGTCCCTAAGGCACAGTCAAGAAAAGCCATCATCATTTTGCTCAGACACTGGTATAACCTCATGTTTCCCACAAAACATATTTCCCCGGGATCAGTTTGCACATATCAGGTTTTGCCCATGAATACTCATGAGACACAAATCAGTCCCTTTAATCCATGATTAGTATGTCACCCCACGCTCTGCGGTTGCATCATGATTTGGTGTTATTGTTGAGTGGCTGCTGTGCTATTTAATTGTTTTTTGCTTAGTGTTCTGTTCGCTCTGCTAATATTTAATTCTCTTTTCCCATCCCTCTTTCTACCCCCAAAAGGCCTGAAGAATAGGAAAACGTCTTTCATTTTCTCAGGCTTCATGTGCTATTGTAAGAAAATACCTATTCATAATCTCCTGTAGGTGATAATGATGATATACAGTCATAATGCTGGAATTCTTAAGTGGTTGGCAGTGCTGCTTTATAGCTGAGAAAAAAAAAAAAAATTGACCTGATTTGAAATGTAGCAGGTTAGTATGCAGGTTAGTGTGCTTTATTTGCCTTTTCCAGTGGTTTGGATAATGAACAAATTGTCATCTCGACGTCTCCTCTGCCAGATCCTGAGCCGAGAGCTGCACAAGAGCCTGAGTGACAGCAAACCACATGCTGCCCGGTGCCTGCCTTGCTCTGCAGGGGTGAATTCCTGAGAACAAATTACACCTTTGATTTATCCTTTAAACGGAAAGAAAGGAAAACAGTAACATTAATTGCAACGAGCCTCTAGTTGCATTGCATTTTTTGTAGTGATCAATATTCTGGGCATTGTAAGCAGCAGCTTTACATAATAAATAGCTGCATTATGTAATGCTAGCTAAATTTAGAAATGGTTATTTTATTACCTTTAGCACGCATAAAATAGAGAGTGATAGAGCTGCTCGGAGCCCAGGGGCTGTCTGAGGATGCAGGGAGCAGCTGGGCCTGGCTGTGCACAGGGAAAACAAACCCCGGCAAAGCCAAAGCCTCTCAGTGCTCTGGGTCAACGTCAAACATTTCGGAGGGCTGAGGGTGGCAGGGGCGGGCCCTGTTCCGGAACACGGCATGCTCAGGAGCAAAAAACATCCCTGCACAATAAAGATGGAAGATTTATTACGAAGGAATGAAATGTGCTACTTTTGTTCTCCCTGGTGTCCCCATAAAGCCTTTGTTTGACAGGCTCGGTCGGGCTCTGGGCAGCTACAGTCCCTTCCGTGAGGCTGCCGGCTGCTTTGAGACCAGTTGTGTGCAGACTACAGATCAATTATCTCCCTGCTAGGGATAAATAGTGTTTCCCTTTTTCCTCTTCAGTAGTGTTCATTGTTATCCTGGAGCACAGGAGCCCTTTCTTTCCCTTCCCAGCCACGCAGACACAAACACACAGAGTTGCTGGAGGAAGGGGATGGAAGAATTCAGTTTGTTGCACTAATCTTCACAGCCTGATCCTCTTGGAGCCTGCTGCTCCAGTGTTCAGCGTCCTGCCCATTTGCAAAAGGCTGGAAGGACCAACCCTTTTGTTGCAGATAATTAGGAGACATCTCAATCCAATAAACGCCCTGAAATGAGAGCCTCTGGAACTGGGAGTTTGGAAAAATACAGCCGAAGAAAGGTTGAAGTTGTGAAATCTTTAGCTAAGCAGGAACAGTGTTGTTTGGCTGTTTCCTAATGGACAGAGAGCTCCAGGGTGGGAAACGAGGGGTCTTTAATTAGGACATCAGAGCTTAGATGTTCCTTCTGCTAGCTGTGGCTGGCACCCATTTATTGAGGGTAGGACACTCTCAGAGAGGGCTGGAGCTGGAGCCATACTGCTGATGGAGTTAAGTGCTCTCTGCATTGCACTCTCCATTGCAATTAGAGGGCTCTGAATTAAAAGTTAATCTAAAGCACCATCAAACTTAAGTAAAGTTCAGCTCTAGGCCACGGTTCTACAAGGAGAGCCCGTAGGTTCTTACTGGACTGAACCAAAAACCTGATTTAAAAAATATGGATTTGGGCCCATTTCAGGAATATCTCTAATAAATACATGCACTTGATTTTTGTCAACTGCTGTTCACAGTTTTAGTATAAACAAGAATCCTGCCCAGCAATTGTTGTGCATGGAAGCTTCCAGACTACTGAGCATCACGCAGCCTCTTCAGAGAAATCATTAGAAGTTACTTAGCTGAGCTGGTGTGAGAGACAAAGAGTTAAAACTAAATCCTGTTTGAAAGTAAACTTTGCAAAAGCAGTGAATTTTCTCAAAGGCTGACTGCTCTTGATTTGCAAGGATGTTCCTAGTCCTGATTTCAATTAAAGAGAAATCCTCAGGCATTTTCTGCAGTTCGGCGGTGTCCTTTATTCCACATGGTTATATATTGAGTAATAAACAAAACAAAGACTGTATTCTGCAATGAACTGCACACGTCCTGTGCAATCTCGGGGAAATCAATAGGTCAGGGTCTGGCCTTGGATTGCCTCAGTATCGGTTGTCAATAACTCCCCCAGCTTCAGTGGAGTATACATCTATGTAAGTAAGAAATGAATGTGGAGATACAAATCTGTCTGTGTATTCCCTTAAAAAAAAAAAAAAGAAGAAAAAAATAATACTGAGAGAAATAAATAGGTAGCTGGTGTTGCAAACTCTTTTTTATTTGCCAGCCCTCTCAAAATCATGAGAGTACATTTTAAAGAAAGCGTTAAACTCAGCTTTGGGATCTCTTTCTTTGCTTTCCATTGTTGCATCCCTGGCTCCCAGCTTTCCCTGCAGTTCCCAAGGTCCAAGACCTTGTTTGTACAGTGGTGGCTGAGGCTGACACAACAGTGCGACGGGGTCTTTAAATAGTAGTGATGATGATGATAATAATAATAAAAATTTTAAAAATATTGTTAACGATTTGGGGTTTTTTTGCAAGTGCTGAATTACAGATTTCTTTCATCCTGCTCCTGGTAATATTTTAATAACAGTATGTTTTCCAGCACAGCAGGCAGCGCCAAGGAACACCAAGGCTGAGCTGGGCACTGGGGACATGAGTTGAGTCCGTGTTTCCTCCCATTTTCCTCCTGTCATGTGAGCCCCAGTGATTACCCTTGGCAGTGGACAGGTCTTGCTGCTGGATGTGGGTGCAGAGCAGCTTTTGAGGTTACACACCTGGGTTTGCATCTTGCTCACGCCAGAACGGTTCACATGGAATTTGTGCTGGAAGGGGGTGGTTTGTGTTCCATCTGTTAATGAAAGTACAGGAAAAGGGAGGTGAGACAAGGGCCTTTGTCACCCTATAAGGTCAAAGGGACAAGACCCGTGTGTAATCCCCTGTTCTGAGAGGGGAAGGAAGCAGAGAGTGGTGGTAAAAGCATCTCAGCTATGGCTGTGACTTCCCCGCAGCCCCACTGCAACTGTGACAGAGTGGGCAGTGGAATGGCCTCAAGGTGCCAGGGCTGTGGCACCGGGGGCAAACACTCAGCCTTATGCCTCTGCCTTAACACTTCCCCGGAGAGAGAAAGTACTTAGACTGGAGACATTTTAATGTCTCCCTCTATCCTGTTGTAACTGAGTCTTGTTTTGAAATAGATCAGATTTTCATTCCCATTTAAGCCAGCATAAATCAGGAGTTAATCTAGGCGAAGTCACCCGGCTCTACTGAAGCCCGTGGAAATGCACTCGCAGGAGATCGCAGTCAGGCCTTGTGCTCTCAGAAAACACTGCACTGGGAGAGCAAAACTGTGCTCTGGAGCCATAAATATCATTACCCACCTTTTGACGTGGGCTCTTCAGCTCTCTTATCCTCTGGTTCAGCCTGGACAGAGCTTGCCAAGGGTGTGCATGAGACTCCATATGCCCTTTAATCCTCCCCACGTGCCTCTTCCCCAGTCTTCATTTCTATGCACACATTTAGTAATCACTCACACTGGCCATAAAGCCTACAGGATTTTAAATTGAACTGAAGTCCCAAATGCTTTAAAAGAATTTATGTTGCATAATTGTATGGGTTTGCCTGAAAACAAACAATGATGTATGGCTAAAATACTCTCCTGGGGAGATGACTCAGATCCTTCCTTATGACTTAGACCTTGCTGGGCTGCTGATGGTGCAGCTTGTAATCTCTGCTCTAGATGCAGGGCAAGGGAAGGCAAACAAAGGAGCAATGCCTGGAGCAAGGGGCAGAAGATCAGAAAACAGGAGTTATCTGGAGCTTTTGAGCAGACAGCACAGGACACACCTGTACCAGTGGTACAGGATCTGGGGTGGGGGGAGGGTGAGTTTCCCATCCCAGAGTACCCTGCAGTGATGAGGCTTCACAAAGTGCCAGTTTGGGTGTTTTGTAATCCACGAGGGTTGCAGGCAGGTCCCTCGTGCCTGGGTGTCTCATTGCCAAGCGCTGAGCAGATGATCCTGGCACCTGGGCTGCTTTGTCTGTGCCCTACAAATGTTCTCGCCGTCAAGTCAAGAGTTCATGTGGGTTTTTGCTGTCACTGTTTTCACTTTAAACATCTTCCCTTACTTTGTTTTCAGTAAACATGCTGTATGTCCCAAGGACGCAGTCTGACTGTTGATAATTAAGTCAGTTCTTCAACCGAGGCTCACAAAGGTGTTTGAAAGCTTTACTTTGCGGATGTGATATTCAACCGGTGCTTAAATGTCCTTCAGCTGTGGTGGCCACCCCCAAGAGTCCTAAACAGGTGTGGGAAAGATCAAAGAGACGTTACTTAATGTGTTCCTAAAGATCTGCCTGGTACACACATAAAACAGTTTGCAGAGCTGGCTTTGCAGATTTGGGGATTTTGCCATTTTTTTGCTGTTTGCAGATTTGGGGATTTCTGTTCTGAGCACACACTTAAACCCGTGGCTGCCTCTGTGTGTGATCTGGATGTGGCCTCAAGTGGATCTGTCCCTTTCTCTCTGTCATTGCCAGCTGGGCAGGGGACATCTCAGGGCCTGGAGCTCCTTGTCAGTGCTGGAAGTGCAGGGCACACTCCGGGGTAACTTGATGCACTTGCAGCTTTGCAGCCCTGGCCAGTGCCCTCCACCCTTCCTTTCGTAAACCAAAAACATCAGGTATGAAGTTACCATTGCAGAGCAGACTCAAGAAGCGTGTCTGCTTTCCATTCCAAGCAAAGCATAGCACAGCAGTCTAATACCATCAGTTTGCAATGAGAGAATATTAAAAATAGGAAGAAAGAAAAAAAAGAGGTTGACTTCGTGGCAGAGAATAAAATAAGAAACTTTTCTCTGCAGGCAATGCCAAGCATCATCAGGGAATATATCAATTCATAACAGCTGTGGGCAGCTATTTCTGTCCCAGACTTCACGAGTTTAATGGGAGCAGCATGGTGAAAGTTAACAGATCTGTGTCCAGCAAGGTTAATTCCGAGGTTACCAGATTATGATGCAAAGAAAATCAGCTGGTGTTTTTCTGTCTCGCTATGAATAGCACAGTTGCATTATTGCTACCGGAAGGGTAGTCAGCTCTTCTCAGTCTGTGGTCTCCCGCTGTGCAGGGAGGAACTTGTGAAAAATCGGTTTCCTTTCCAAACATACCCTTCTGCCTTTCTCATTCAGTGCCTACGTAACCAGAATGCTGAAGGGGTGGCTGCTAATATCACAACTGCTTGGGATCGTGTTTTGCAAGAGTCATTATTTTCTTTAGGTCCAGTCAGTAAGTTTTATGCTCTTTAAATTTTTTTTTTTTTAAGAGATAATAAAACCCAAAAGAGTTGTTTAAAATGTTTTCAAGCAGCGTTTCTGCAAAAATGCTTCTGGGTTTTCTCTTCCACCCTGTCACATCTCCTTTTCCAGGATGGCCCTTTCACTCTGTAGCATCAGTGGCAATGGCAGCAGGAGGCCACTGTGCTTTTTCCAGAAGGTTTCCAGACTGAACACACCCAGCAGCCGAAAATAGTAGGGAAAAGACACAGCCCCATGGGAAGGTGGTGGCAGAGAAGAATCTCTTGGCTCCTGCAGCAGTGCTCTGTCCTGTTGAGGGGGGGCTGCAGCCAGTTTGTGCTGCCCAATTTTGACAGACAGCGTGAAAACGGTTTCATTTCCTGACTGTACAAGCGTAACTCACAGAGGCCTGTTGGCAATGATGGTTTAGAAGTGAAATGAAAAACTTTCCAGATCAGCTTTAGACAGATCAGTTTAGAATAGAGCTAACCATATACTTTCATAATGTGCTTTGAGAAACTGGTTAAGGTGCCTGAAGAAGTGTCAAGTACCATTAATAGAGCTGACAGGGTGAGTTTGAAACTCTGCTGATAAAATGCTTACTTCCATCAAAATGCATTCAAAAATTATTTGTGTTTCCCAAGGGCTGACCAGGTTAAAAAAAAAAAAAAAAAAAAGAGGAAAAGAAAAGAAAAGAAAAGAACACAACAGTGGCCTCACCTTGAGTCCTGTGTGCATGTTTAGGCACTGAAATGAAAGAAAAATATAAAGCTACTAGAGAGCATCTGAAGGAAGGCACAAGGATGGTGAAATGCCTCGAGGGGAAGCCATAAGAGGAGTGGCTGAGGTCACTTTGACTGTTCAGCCTGGAGAAGAGGAGGCTGAGGGGAGACCTCTTTGAGCTTTTCAGCACCCTCACAAGGGAAAGCAGAGGGGTAGGTGCTGATCTCTTCATTCTCACGACCAGTGACAGCACTCAAGGGAATGACCTGAAGCTGAGTCAGGAGAGATTTAGGTTGGATATTAGGAAAAGGTTCTTCACCCAGAGGGTCATTGGCCACTAAACAGGCTCCCCAGGGCAGTGGTCACAGTCTGACAGAGTTCAAGAAGCATTTGGACAATGCTCTCAGGCACATGTTGTGATTTTTGGGGTGTCCTGTGCAGGGCCAGGAGTTGGATGCCGTGATCCTTCAGGGTCCCCTCCAACTCAGGATTTTATATGATTCTATGATTCTGTGGTATTTTTCACTCTGGAATTGCAACCCAGTTTTATTGTTTATTATATGTTGTAATAATAGAAAGTAAAGGATTCTCGATAAAAATGAAATGCTTTGATCTATCCAGAATGGTCTTCCCTTTAGTTTTGAGGAGATTTTCAGCAGTTTTCTTCTGAATCAAAATGAAGCCAGACTTGAAGCAGTGGGGCTCTGCAGTGAGCTGGAAGGTGCAGCCCCAGTATCCCAGTTCTGCAGTACTAGTTTGCTGTGGGGCTTCCCCAAGGATCTGTTCCATCGCTCAAGCACAGGAGAGAGAAAGTGTCCCAGTCTCGCATTCGCAGTGCAAATCTGAGCTGAGCTGCTTTGTGGTTGCTCCAAGGAAAATGAAGACTAGGTCATGAACTTAAAATAATGCTCTTTGATTCTCTCAGGCTATATATAAACTGCCTGGAGGATTCATGTTGCAGCCTGCTCCAGCAGGATCTTGGTCTCCTAAGTGTTCAAGGAAGGGAAAGGGAAGGGACTGGAATTTTGCTATCCCTAGTTTTTGACAGAAGGGCAGTGGTGTGCAGCCAGGCCACTGACCCAAACCTGCACGTTCAGGACCCTCACTGCTCCCTATGGCTGTTCTGTCACCTGGGGCATCACCATGAGTGTCACCTGCATCCAGGGAAGAGGGAGTAGAGGAGCCCTCTGGTTCTCCTGCCTTCACATAACGCAAGGCAGGGAGCAGGGAAGAGCGTTTCTGGAGCTTTCTACCTCTGACCATGGAAATGCAGTCTCAGTTCTCCAGCTGTCACTGGTTAATCAGCATCTTCCCCAGAGCAGAACAAGGATCTGACTCATGACTCAGAGCCACATCCTCACGCCTGGTCTCCTCCAAGGGGAACGCTGCCCTTTCCATGGGGATGGTTAAGTCCAAATGCATGAAAATAGCAGGGATTTAGGGTTGCTGGCCTTAAAATGGACCTTCAAAAATAGTTTAGTCAGATATTACCTGGAGCAGTTTCTGTGTGTATTCTTGCTAACAAGCTCTTGTTAGAATATTTGTGGAAAATAAACTCTGGCGAGACGAGAGCAGAGCCAAGAAGATTTATTTAAGACAAGCAAATATTTGTGGGAAAGTTTGTGTCTGTTTGTGCTGTGCACCCAACACTATCATTCAGCATTTTCCATGAGATACTTTTTGATCAGAGGAGAGATCAATTACCGTGTATCCATTTCTGTGCTTTCCAGCTGTGAGGCACCAGTAGAAATGTCAGTATTTCCTCCAAGAAAAATTTGGTTTTGGCTCGGAACTTCGCTTTAAGAGTTAACATTTCTGGAGCCATGACCTCAAAACCACAAATAGAAAGAAAAATAACGTAAGATAGATGAGCACAGAGTTCTGGAAGCCCTGAAGAGTGAAAAACAAATTTCAGCATGTTTTGTAACCATCCTCTGGAGTTAGGAAAAAAGGACATTTTAATAAAACTGCACCCTAGAGCCCACAGAAATTTGCTTGATAAATCAAAAACCGCACAACTGAATGTGGGATGAAGTCTGCGTCTGCAGTCCTCCAGCTCTGAAAACACCTTCCCAAACATAGGAGCAGGAAAGCCAGTGTTGGCCGCTAGCTAAGCCGCTGGTTGCGGGACTCTACCAGACTCATTCCCCTGAGCAACTCAATAATGGTATTTTTCTCACTGAAAATCACCTGAAGAGTAAGGAACTTTCTGCCAAATCAACACACTTGGTCTGTGAAAAGAGATCCAAGTGCACAAGTCTGACCCCATCTCCAGGTTAACACCCCTGCCCCACCAGCCCCAGTTGTGGCACCAGTGTTGCTGGGTTAATGGTAATTGAGATCTTAGAAGTCTTTTCCAACCTAAATGAGCTTCGTTTCAGGGAAGTGGAGTCCAATAGCCCCAGTGACCACACTGTCAACGAGGATACAAAAGACTTTGTGAAATCAGTCTTGAAGAGAGCAGAATGTCACAGTCAGTGTTCTCTTTTCCACACGTGCAACACCTCATTGAAGTGGAGTTATTCATCCCCCCTCCTCCTCCTCCTCCTCCTCCTGCTTCTGTCTTTCCATCCATTGCTTTTCAGGCCATTTCCTCTGTCTGTTGTCCTCCTGCTTAGGAGGTTTTGTTCTGGGCTGACATCCCTTTGTCATTTCCCACAAATACACTGCAAAAGA